GTTAGTTAGTTCATTGTTGATATAAACAATATAACTGAAAAAAAAATATTATTACTGAAATTAAAATCTTTACCCTGGACTTAGTGAAAATAAGAATGTATTGTAATAACCTAAATTCTGAATAACAATAGCCAAATCATTTATGACACCATCCGATATGAATTCATATCCAGTGAAAATCGTTTGTCAAATCCTGCCCAAAGAACACCAGATAAGCGGACGAACAACAAAGAACACACAATCAAATTGTTCATATTTTATGACAAACATGATAGTGTAGAGTTTCGAATAAAAAAACAATGTGAGTCCCATATTTAGCATATGATACATGCATAATTATTGTAATGTTTTTTAAACTAGTATTTAACTCCCTTTTCAGCTACTTTTAAAGTAATGAATTTAGACGCCACCCTTTCCAACATGCGAATCTTTAGCTACCTGTGATATGAATTGGACATTTAATTTGATGGACATGTTTGAAGTTATTTCTCCACAGCCTTCGAAAATAATTTAAACACGTAATTTATAGTTCCTCATTTCATCAAACATGGTGGATTACTGATCCATGATTTGATTCAAAGTAGTGATCTTTTTTTAATTTGATTATTACGTATAATTTCTTATATTGCAATCAATTTTGCAATTAAATACTAATGATATGCATATCTACACTATTCCTGTCATTTTATTGTGGGTTTAGATAAAATAAGGTCGATTGACGACAAATCTTGCGATGCACAAATCAACATGTCATTCTGACGTTTACATATAGTATTTATATCACTCATGTTAATTTTGATTGATTAATCATGCAAATCCAAACGACACGTGATATAGCGTGATTTGATCGTAAACAATAGCTACATCTTCACATATGTATGTATTTATACCTGTTTCTCAGTTACGAGGTGATTAATTTCAAGAGTGAACATAAAACCTTTCTCACGGATATATTCCGATATCTACACGTTTTTTCTACTTTATAGTGCTGCATTTCCTTTCCTGTACAATTTCTTCTTGGTTCAATATTTTGACACACTTATTGTGTGTATTTAGTTAATGTTTTACAGTGTATAATTCCACATCTCAAATACACTAAAACATGTCAGCAAGCCGTGGTTTCTATTTATACAATGTCATATATTAGATTTCTAATTCATTGCCATACGATGTCAATCAGATATAGGCAAATAACAACACCGTTTCACAGTTTAACATGAACAATGTTATAATTTTTTGATAATAGAATATTCTCAACACGTGAAACAAATTTGAAAACGGATTTTGTATAAATGTATTTGATGCACAAGGCTTAAACTCTATATCTTAGCACATTACATTTAGAGATATATCTCTCTGCCCTTATTACAATTACACTCTCATTCACTTGTCATTCAAACATCTTCTTTCTTATATTATAACCAAAACACCATTAACATGATGTTTATTAGTGCAACTGTCATACACAGAACAAAGTAATATTTATATATTATATTGAACATATGCATTTGATTTCCATTTTTAATTACTTGACTCCATTAAATGTTACCTCCGGGATAGTAAAATCGTAATTGATGTTTTTTATTCACAAAGTCTCTATGATGAAAAGCGTGGTATTTTATTGTATAAATATTATGCAAATTTCCTTTCAACTGGAAATGAGAAAGTCGTCCGTTATTTGTGATTCACTGTGTTTGTTGCCCAGCGTTTCGTCGGGATAGTGTATGCACAATCACTTCAACTACGATCGATGGAGTGTTTCCTTGGAAAATCTATCTGGCTGGTCGATGGTTTATTGATATTAATTTATGTCATTATAATGTAGGTGAATTAACTACGAATAAAACACAAAATACAAAATACATCTTTAAAAATACATCGACCGAGTGAGAAGTGAATGAAATTTGAAATTGGACATCATTATTATTTTCGTTGAGCTCTGATGAAAAGGTAACGTTGGCAACACGTGTAATTTGAGATAAATATTTAGGATATACCCAAATCCCATTTTATATGATATAATGATAATTCAATCATATATCTACGTATTAATGGATGTCGTTTTATTTCAAAAATACCATATATTGCGTTGGAAACGCGGCCGGATACACAAATATTACTTAAATATAATCATAATTCAAAATGGGGCTATTTGCTAACAAGTAGAACACATATGGTGTATGTAATTAATTTACTACACTCGAATTGAAAAGGAAAACAAAACATGAATTAATAATATTATTAGTGTTGCGGTGTGGTTTTATAATGGAATAATCATTACCACCCAGAAGCAATGTTTTCCTTTGAAAAGTATACACAATTCGAGTCGTTTGAAATCAAAACGAAAAACCATATCAAGACCGTTACTATTCAGTGTGATCAGTTTTCTAAGGCAGCAGCCTTGAATGTGAATTTTGTCAGATATATTTTACAGAACTGCATTGAACTTGGTTATACACATAGTTTGTCGGCCAGTAAAATCCAAACTTCGCAGCTTTTCATGAAAGTAGTTTCCATTCATATACGTATCCATTCCCGCTACAATAGTAAACCATGTCTCCCATGAATGTATTTAAGTCTAAATCGCGAGTGCCCGTCTTTACGTACGATGACGTAATTATTGCTGCAGTCGACCACCATCAAATTTTAGCGAGTTTTTCGTATAAGGAATTATGATCCTGATAGCTGAGATGCAATGGGGAGAGAACATTTCAAAACATATTTTGTATTTAGCGTTTTTTATATAATTATATATTTCATCTTGATAAAACAGAATATAATTTTTCGGTGAATATAACCCTATTCGTTCGACGACGCAAGCTTCAAGAAAAAATCGACATTAGAGATCCTGTAATATTTCGCTAAGCGCACTTTGACCTTTACCAACCCGTGTTAGAAAGCGCCCTCTATGGCTCAAATGTAATATTGAAAATGTTGGAACCCCATCCTAGGAAAGAGAGATATGCCCTGCTTGCATCAAATGGCTGGATATTGACCAGTTTTACTGGTTCCAAAGCATTACTCTTGACTACAGATTGCAGTGTCAAGTTGTGTAGTTTACGGTGAGTAGCGAATATTTGATGTGTATGTATATGTATATGATTCCCG